TATGTATAAGACTTTACTGGATCGTCCTGGCCTTCACAATGTTTGGGACGGATATTCGGTGAATTCCATTTTGATCCATTTGCTAAAAATATTCGTAAAAATCACCATAGTAAAGAAAACTTAACACCTGATCGAAATAAAGTTTTTCATCTATAGAAATGGATGGATCTTGTTATCGCAAATTGGTTTTGTTGTCAGGGCGACTTGGTAGAACGAACCTTGTCCGATCTATGCTATAGTAGTTATAAGAATTAACAGGATCAGACCATTGACTTAGTACATCCTCAGACGTTTCTCTGGCATCATCAGTGAGTCTTGCCATTCTCCGCAGCAAGCTATAAACTCATCAGAGGCAAAAGATATAAATCGCTCGAACGTTCTGCCAAAACGGTTACACCATCACTCCTCTTTCTGTCATGGCTCATCTATCTACTCCTTACCATCTTATCAAACTCCCGCCTTATCACAACTCTTGACTTGTTTACACTTTACTTGTCGGAATGTGGGGTCATCACACCTGCTATTCACCTTGTTCCCCTCTCTTTCGATACCGTAATCTGTCTCGGGTCTTCTATCTGGATCTCCCGTATGGTTTCGTAAATCCGTTTCTTATTTTTTGTCGACTGATTTCATTCTCTTACAGTCCCTGTGTGCATTTTACTTCAGGCGCTATTGCTCAAGGCTTTAGAAACACGTACACAGCCGCCTGATCGAACAGAGCACCTAGGCTCTAATTCCCATGCTTGCGGATATATTGTCTTCACGAGTCGTCTTGATTAAACCCATGTTTCTTGTTTCGTCAATATATTTATGTTTACAGGTACCGAATGATATGCAGTAAACTCCTGAACAGTCCTATTTGTCCACCCTTTCATGTTGCGTCGGTGGACTTGTGAAGAGAGTTGTTTCTTCCTTCATGGCCATCCCAATATCTCATTTCTTCAGTATTGGACGTAGATTTTGTGTTCGCCCGCAGGAAGGTAGGCATATCGACGTTCGTAGTCCCCATTCTGTCATCGGCTTCTCACAACCCATACGCTTATTTGTATTACTTTGCTTTAGTAGCTGTTGCCGAGGGATATCCTAGTCATTATGGCCAAAATCTACTAGAAATCAACCTGAGATGCCGCAGCTGATCATAGACAGGCGTCCACAGTTTGCCTAGGTAACACCGGTTAAATCAAGACCACCCATGCAGACAATGCCCAATATCTACAAGCATGAGAATTAGAGCCTAGGCGCTCTGCCCGGTGAGGCAGCCTTGTACGTGTTTCTAAGGTCTTGAGTAAAACGCACACTAGAACTGGGACCGAGTGAAATCGGTAGACCAGAAAATAAGATAAGGATCTACGGGACTATACGGGAGATACAGACAGAAGGTCCGAGACAGATAAGCGGATCAAAAGAAAGGGGGCCAAGGTGAATAACAGGTGTGATAAGGCTACACACTCTGGCAAGTGGAATGTAAACAAGTCAGAAGTTGTGATAAGGCGTGGGCTGGATAAGAGGGTAAGAAGTCGATAGATGAGCCATGACAGAAAGATGAATGATAGTGTAACCGTTACAGCAAAACGTTGTCCGAGCGATCAACATGACTTGCCTCTGACGAGTTTCTAGCCTGCTGCGTAGAATGGCAAGATTCACTGATGACGCCAGCGAAACGTCTGAGGATGTACCAAGTCCACGGTCTGACCCTGGGAATGATGATAACTAATATAGCATATATCGAACAAGGTTCGTTCAACCTTAACGATGACTAAAATACCTGGGTCTTCATATAAAAGATTTTCATCCTCTGTGATTTCAGTTTGACTATGAGATAAAGACAAAAGCGAATCACTAACAAAAAACCAAATTGAGTGATCATTAAAAAAATGTTTACTACAAATACATTAGGGGCGAATAGTTAGAATAGTGGCTATTCAAAAATATAAATGAATTTAGTTTTAATTTATCATACCAAGCCTCTTCTTCAAAGGCATAGTTTTTAGGATCGTGTCAGCGTGGAAGGTTGAAGAAGCGTCCTCTTTCCGTGTGAATTTGACAACAGGAATTTTACTCCGGCTGGGATCCGTTGATTTCTTGCTTGTGATTTTAGCCGCTTTAGGTTTCTGGGCCAGTTTTAATACGCCAAGATAGGGAAGGCACGGTTCTGAGTTGATTAAGCTACTATCAAGATCATCATCGTTGAATGAGTCTGGCCCTCTATAAATTGATTCTCGGGATGGAGTGATCATAGCCGAATTTATAGAATAACGGAGAATCTTAGATGTAGGTGAACAATAGAGGTCGTCATCATGGCCGCTAGCCTCTTGGTTAGTCGCTCCGAGGCGAGAAAATACCGAGTTACTTGCCTGATTAAGGGGTTGGCAGAAAAGCATGACCATTTAGACATTGTGAGCTGGTAACATCACAAATATCTGAGTGATGATCTAAGAAAAGACCATTGTTTCACATCAGACATTTTTAAGTT